CTGGCCCTTGATTTGCTGTTCTGAAAAACTGACATAAATAGCGAAAACCTTATCACATTGTTCTCAAAACAAAAAGAGGTGATACTTATGGAATGCTTGGAACAGAGACTGCCACAGGTGAAATCCCAGGCCGCTATTAAACTACATTGCAAAGGGTCCATTTGTGAAATCACAGCATAAGCTAACTTAAAATATCTGAAGGGCTCCATGTCAAGGAAGCATAGGGTGTATTCTTTGGAACTCTGGAATGATGGGTATAAGTTATAGCAGCTATGCATTGTTCCAAAGTAGCTTGGGAAGGAATAAGGCCTTTTGGAAGTTTTTAATTAATTACTATTGGATGGGATCTACACTGACCTGCATATGAATTTGTAGGGATTATATGCATTCCCCCTTGTAGTGTTTTTTCAATTAGTAAGAATATTATTGAGAGGCACGGTCCAGCATGGGCCCCGAGCCTTCTCCACATCCTTTCTGGGTTTGTCAGATGGTAAGCTGTGTGATGAGTTACACTGGCAGCTCCAGGAGCCAGGAAGCTCCCTCACCCAAAAGGAGAGGACTGGCTTATTGCTGCCTGGTACACTGTTGGCTTCTCTCTTTGGAGGCACTTGGTCCTCACCATCCTTCCTACCTCCTCTGCTCCCACATGGGACGGAGGACAAGAAATGCTGGCCCACAGAGCAAGCGCTGGGTACTGTGTTCATCAGGAGTCACCGAGTCCTTTGTCTCTGATGCAGCAATCTCTTGTCTTCTGCAACTGACCATGAAACAGTAACAATCTGAGTTATTAACTCGTAAGTTGGGTAGGATCCCACAAGTCACAATTCTGGACACATACAGGTGACAGTGCACATCTGCTTTGCTATGTTAGGGAGCTCTCACCACAGTCCTTCTATAGGTTGGTTTTACTGAATGGTTGTATAACTTGCCTGTGATGGTAGATGTGGTCATCAAACTGGACTTTGCCTGGTTTGAAAACATATGTCCATAATAACTGCATGGTACCAGGGCACATTATTCCACTCCCCTCACCTACTTGCAAATGTCTTCACTGACACGATAAAACTTCAGGGATGAAGTAAAACTGACCTCCCGTTTCTGGTTTCTGTGCACTTAGTTGTGTTTGTTCATCCCTAACCAGCAATGAATGTCTCTTTGGTCACATTGCTTGTTTTCTGTAGCAGTTGGGAGACAGGGCAAGAGATGACTGTGAAAAAGTGAGACTTTATGGTTTGAAGTAAGTCCTTCAAATTAAACCTTCCTTCCTTATCAAGGCTAATACAGAACCATTTGTACTTGTATAATTACTGACAATCAGCAATTAACAATTGAAATTTACAAATGTATTTATAATAGTATAAAATACAGAATGCACCAGAATAAACGTAGCAAATTATTTGGAAGAGTTTAATTATGAAAGCTGTAAAATACTTATGAGAGAAATAAAGATCAAAATAAACCAATATATTGATCCTAAAGGGGAACAAAATTCAACTTGTTAGTATTTTAAATCTCCTTGCACTGATTTATCAGTTGAATGAATTAATCAAACTTCCAATAGAAATTTCTATGAAAATCGACAATTGATTCTAAAATTTGTACAAAAACGCAATGGTCATTAACCAAAACAATTTTGAAAAAGAAGAAATTTCAGTGACTCATAGTTGAATCCAAGGCTTCTGAGATGGCACATTAATCAAAGCAGTGTGGTGTTGGTGTAAGAATAGACTTTTGTATAAATGGAGCACATTGGAGAATCCCAAAATAGAAACACACATATATGGTCAATTGATTTTTAACAAACATGCTCTGCTAATTAGATGGGGAAAAAGAGACATTTTCTTGTCAAAATTAGCACTGAATACTTGAGACAGCCACATGATAAAATAATGAGCCCTTAGTTACTCTGGAAGTGGAAACCGAAAGGATTGCGGCTAGCGGCCAATGGGGACAAAAAGTTAGCAACACCTCATCTCAATGAAAAAGCAGGGCACTTGGGATAACACATGCTAGCCCAGCTATGCAGGAAGCTTTAGTATGAAGACTGTGGACCACACTGGCCAGACAGCACAAACTGGAACCCCACCTGAGAAATAAGAGCAAAAAGGGTTGGAGGCCCAGCGGTAAAGTGCCTGCCTAACGAGGCAAGTACCTCAGTTCTAAACCCCATAACATCAAAAAATAATGATATATTGGTAGCACTATAAACAAAAACCACACACAATGGATCAAAGACTTAGATGTAAGCTAAAAAACTATAAAATTCCTACAATAAAACCTAGTAGCAAACATTGTTGACTTTAGGTTAGGAAAATTATTCTTAGACATAAATACAAAACACAAACCATAACAGAAAGAACAATTGTTCTTTGAAACATACTATTCATAAAATGAAAAAGACAAAGAGTGGGAGAGAAGATTTGCCATGTACGCATCTGATGGACTCATACCCAGAATATAGACTATCAATAAATGGACAACAAAGAACCCAATAAAAAATGGTCAAAGGAATGAACTCACACTTTACCAAAAAATCGTTACTTTGTATTAAACCACAAAAGACTCCAAATAACCAAAGCAATTTTGAGAAAGAACAATTTTTGAGAAAGGTACATATTTCAAACTATGTCACAAAGCTACCGTGATCAAAGTGGGATGGCACTGGTATAAAAACAGGCACAGCAAGGCAGCAGAATGGAGAGCTCAGATATAAACCCAAGTGCACCTGGTCAACTGGCCTTTCACCAGGGGACAAGAGCAAACCATGGGACATGAATTCTCTTCAGCAAGTATCTTTGGGAATGCCGGACTTCCAAATGCAGAAGATTGAAATTGGATTTTGTCTTTACACCTACAAAAACTAACTCCAATGGATAAAAGTCTTTAATGTGAGATCTGAAAGCTTACAATTCCTTAAATGAAACTTAAGGAAAAACTTTTTTAACACTGATCTTGGCAATGTTGGATACGACATCAAAATCACAGGCATCAGAAACAAAAATATACAAGTGAACCATTACCCTAAAAAGCTTCTGCATAGCATGAAACAATCAACGAAATTTGCAATCATCTAACAGAATTTAAGAAAATAGTGGTAAGCCATATATATCAAAGGGGTAAATAAATAAGGAATTCATACAACCCAATTGCCAAAAAAATTTAAAAAGTGACCTTGATTTTAAATTGGTGAAAGACCTGAATAGAAGTTTTCCCAAAGCAGATGTACCAATGGCCAAGAAATATACAAAAAAGTGCTCAACATCGCTAACTATCAAATAAATGCAAATCAAAACCACACTGAGCTACCACCTCCCTCCTGTAAGGATGGCTGTTATGAAAGAGACAAGAAATAGCAAGTGGGTGAGGGTGTGGAGGAGAGGGACTTTGTACTGATGGTGGGGATGCAGGTGAGTGCAGCCACTATGGAAGACAGTGGGGAGGTTCCTCAATAAAGCCAAAACAGTTCTGCCATCTGGTCCAGCAACCCCACTTCTGAATACGTGTTTTAGAGGAATGAAATCAGGATATTGAAAAGATGTCTGCACCCTTGTTGTTACAGATTAGTCATGACAGCCAAGATAGAAAATAATCTAATGTCCACTGATGGGTGGATGGATAAAGAAATTCTGATACATAGACACAGTGGAATGTTATTGAGTTATTAAAATAAATCCTCTCATTTTCAGCAGTGTGGATGAACCTGGAAGACACCATGCTAACTGAATCAAGCCAGGTATGACCTACAGTAGGAAAATGAAAATGTCAACCTGACAGAAGCAGAGATTAGACCAGCAGCTGTTAGGGATGGAAGGAGATGCTGGTGGAAGGGACACACTTTCAGTTATAAGATGAGCAAATTCCAAGATCTAAGGTCCAACATGGGTGGTTAATTAATATGTTTGTAGTAATCATTACACCTCATATATCAAATCACTATGTAGTACACTTTAAAATGTATTCAGTCTTTATTTAACAATAAAATATTTTAAAATTTAAGAAATTCAAGTTAAAACCATCATGAGTTAAAGCCACTAGCACATCTAATAATAACTGACTACAAAGGTCACAAAGGAAGCGATGAAACAAATTCTATATATTATTGATTATTCTGATTACAAAATCAAATACATTTTTGTCAAATCATTGACCTATATAACTACAAAGTGTCAATTTTACTATATATATATATATATATATTAGACCTAAATAAATGAAATTAAAAAAATAGATCCAGCTCCAAGAATAATTATAGCTATTATAGATTATATGAAATAATTATGTTTACATATATTGAATTGTTAAATATGTAGGTATTTCTGCTTAAGTGGTAACATCTATGGAGATAATTTATAAACCATGTAGTAAAACCTAACAATATCAATTCAACATTTATGTTGTTGGTTTTTTATGAACATTATAAAATAACAACTTTCTTTTGGTAATGAACTTATAGAAGAGTAAGTTTTATGTGTATGTTTTGTGTAGTTTGAGCTGTGCAGAAGTGACAAAATGTATTGTTTCTAACATCACAATTTTCAAAGATTTAATTTTTTCCAATTACTATATTATTACTGTATTACATGCTCAAAATATTGCCCATGATTGTAGATTTACGAGAATTGAATTTTAATCAATTTCATGATTACTACTTTTTTCACTTGTTTGCAACCCACTTTCACACTTAAATATACTGTTTTGTTCAATCGTGCATTTCAAACTTAACTTTTAAATTGCTATTGATTGGTCTATTACAATTTAATAACCTTTGTAAACATTTTCTTTTGAAACTGAAGTGAATACATATTTCTCTTAGATGGGAAATTGAATAAATGTGGAAATAATAGAAACCTTACAGGTTTCTCACTGGTATGTCCCAGGCGGTGCCCAGACGTGTCTCTCATCCGAATGAAGAGCTGTCCCCAGTCCAGCTCTCCTGTAGTTGCCGAATGATAAGGCAGTGGTACAAGAAAACTAATCATAGTATTGATTGTTTCCTGTAGCGGTCCCCTGGTGCTACCAATTGCCAAGCAAGACAGCTTGTTGGAAAAAGACACTATGTTCAAAGATGCAACGAGAGGTCTGTGTAAGCAGCAGTCGCAGGACAGCACGCCTGAGCACACCACCTTGAGCATCTGCAGCAAACCTGAGCAGGTAGGCTCCCCATGTCCACCGGTGGTCCACGCAGACAGTCGCGTGTAACTCGCAGCCTATTACAAAAGCAAGCACCGCTATCTAACATTCAAAGGGAAGCTCGATGGCCAGGTTAGTATTTTGTTTACGATTCCCTTAATTAACAGGGCATCGCGCTCGTCATTAACACACATAATTGCCATCTTGTTATACAGCAATTTGAATTTGACAGTCTGGACACGTGTACCAGGAATTTCAGTTCAGCCAGTATTACTTCTTGCACAGTCCCAGCTGTCTTTGGTGACTCTGTAGTCTGTTTTTCTGTTCCTTCCAGTTATCCAAATATGTGTAAGAAGGAGGGCAAAGAGTCACTGGGCACTATTTAGCCTTACAAGTGTGTGGGGACAGGGCACATGGGAACAGTGCACAAGTGAGCACCCACATCAGTTCAGTGCCCAAGTGATGGGAGGTCATTTTGGAGGTGGGAGGGTGTTCGCTTGGGATTGTGGATGTTAGTGGATTTTCTTTTCTGATTCCTACAGAAATAAATGTTTTTTTCATGTTCAGTGTTCTGTAAATGGCAGAGCAATTTGTATCCTTAAAACCATTTTGTCTCAGCATATTTTATCTTGAATATTTTACTTTGGTAAGATTTTTCTAAAGGTTCTCTCCTCAGAACTAAGTTTTGCTTTAATTTAGATTGCTTTAGAAAGATAAAATTTTTAAATGGCTTTTTTTGGTGTTTTCATTTTATTGACAGTGTTTTGAAATACATTTTCTTATTTGGTTCATAGAAATGTGTGAAAACTAAGATTAATTTGGTTTCCTACTGTTGAGATTTACTAACATTCAAAAACCACTCTAAAGCACCTACAGACATGGCATGACTTACAGTCACTGCGTTTGTGTGGGTTTATCATATGTTTGCATTAATGAACTGTTCAGGTAATTGTTATTTGTCCAAGTTTAGCAGTAGCAAAATGATAAAAATTAATTTAATTAAAGAAACACAAACTATGTCAACCCTTCTATCAGGGTGCTGACTTTTTCCCTCTGTGGAGCCAAACAATCTATGCCTAGAAAATCAATTGCTTTTAATTGACAATTTGACCTGACATTTCTAAAAGACATAAAACATTCTTCGAATATGAGAAGACCTTCCGAACATAAGAACAGCGAGGGGAATCTTTATAGGATGGCTTTTCTAGTTTTAGTGTCAGCTGTCATCATTGTGTCTTAGATGTTAAAATAATTGCTGCCATGTTCTATTTGTTTGTTTTCTCGGAGAGTGTGGCAGTGGTTGGGCTTTTAGGACCTGTGACATCTCTCCAGAGACCCAGCGGTGTCTCCCACTGAGCTCTCCTACTCTGGTGCTCTGGAGTGTGACCACAAGGGGCTGTGTGGTCCCCTGTGGGGAGGGCGCCAGTCTCTGGCTGAGTTCTGCACTCAGATTTCGTAAGAGGGCTTGAGAAAAGACTTCCAAAGCAACAAAGGCCCCATCCACATTTTAAGTGGAAAGACATGATGTAGAAAAGTTACTTTGCCTTTCAGATTTTGTAAAATGTAAGTCTTACCAAAGAGTATCTGTGTAAATGAATATTCCAGACTTGATTTAACAGAAAGATTAACATTTCTGTCCTGTTTTTCTTCTCTCCTCCCCTTCCTCCTCTCTCCCGCCCTCACCCTCTTGCGATGTTCATTTCCAGTGGTTTCCTAATGTCTTAATTTCTTCCCTCTCTTTCCTCCTTTTCTTCTTTCCTTTCAGGACATACTTATTTAAATTCAGTTCAGGCTTAAAATTCTTCGGGTCAGGACTTCATTCCATTCAGTGAGGGCTTGTTGGCCACCAGGGAGAGGACGACGGGACGATGGCGTCCTGTACACTTCTACAGTTCATTTTCCTCACAGCAGCTCTATGACTCTGGGAACTCCTTCCCCCAACTGAGCCTCATCTGTAAAATGGGTGCATAGCCCTGACATCAGGCAGTTATTATGAAGAGGACAGTAGCTGGGGGCACTAGGTTATTACACAATCTGAGAGACAGAGAACAAGCTCTGTTCAGTTTTAGCAAAATAATTCCATTAAGTCTCTGAAGCCAGAAAGCCACCCCATCCTCAATTTTAGATGATAGCTCTATATCTTGTCAGATCCTTCAGCATCTCTCTCCCTCAGGTGGTGTCTGACACCCTGGCCTGCCTTTAGCAAGGATCCTGGCAGGCTGGGTTAGCCAGAAGCCCCCTCACCCTGTGTCTTCTGGTACTCATTTTCCAGTCACTGACCTGCCAGGGTCTTCCAGTGCCACAGTTGGTAAAAGACTTTGGCAAGACAAGCAAGTGGGAGAAGCACGATGTTTGTTAGGGTACTGCTAAGAGAAACAGCAGGCAGCTGAGCACAGGGAGGGCTCTGATATGTGGTCAGACAGGTTTGTTTATGCAGAGCAAAGCCAAGGTGTGCCCTCAACAGGACAGTGGGCAGACTCAAGAAGGACGCTGAGCCGGAGTCCCGGGTCCTCAAGATTTTATTGGGGTCTACAGAGATGGGGGTGGACTGTCCTGGAAAACTGGGTTAATGAGTCATTAACTCTGAGGCTGGGCTACATGTCACCAACTCCTCTCACATGTCAAGACAAGGGAGTCTGTGACCTTGCACAGTCAGACTTGGGCTGTTATGTTCTGTGGGCTGCAGGTCAGCAAGACCTGCTGTGTGTCATAGGCCATTCTGTGAACATCAGTGGGTCCAGAATGTGATTCCTCATCAACATCTGATCCCTGGTTCTCAGCCATGAATTTCCCAACTCCCTCCCTAACCCCGTCATGACACTTACCTGCTCTTGTTCTGTTAACTCTCACCTGAGCAGGCTGTATTCAGAGTTGAGCCCATTTCTCTTCCCCACGGCACGATCTTGCACAGTGGCCCCTGCACCCAGCTCCACAGTCCTAAACAAAGCTCACCTTGCCATTCTTTAACAGATAGAAATGTTTTCCTTGACAAGAGACAGACCCAGGCTCTCCGCACTCATCTGCCTTCCTCCCCACTCCAAGGCCTCTCTCAGGGAAGCAGGCAGATTTGGCCGCTCCACTCGTGCCTCTAACCACGCTCACACTGCACTCAGCAACTGCAGAGTACAAGCCATGCCACGTCCCCCACAACCAGTGATAAGTGCACCACTATTTTTCATATTTCATAGCGAAAAGGAACTGGCGTCTTCATATTCAGACAGAAAAATGTTCAAGATCTCACAGCTAGGGAGACAGATCAGCAACCAGCGTTTCAGTGTCGTTCACCCAGGCGAATACGAAAGACGATGCCTGGAACTTCCATGACCTTGACTTTTAGCTCTTCAAGCACAGAGGCGCAAAGCCGTGTCTGAGACGTTTGCCGGAATTCCCACAACTAATGAGCTCAGAATCACCAATTGCCCGGGTGGAGGAAACTGCCAGGAACTTCAGCAAGGGCTGGCCAAAGGAAGTTGTCTTATTGCCATGTCGCTCCCTGAGACCTGATCACGTGGGCTGCTCCTGGCACCTGTGACTGACTTTACAGTCGAACTAAGAGTTCAAGTTAGGAAGCTAATTTCATGCAATCTCCAAATTGCTTTAATGACCAGGAAAACAGTAAGAGAACTAGGGAATTCTGCTCTTATCTTCAAAAAGTGCAGGTTTTGGGTACTGTTCTTGGCTATATAAGTAGATATTTCTGACAGCGTTACAGTTTTATACCACGCTTCTGGCCCACAGTGTCAACTAACTCATTTTAATTAGACTATGCTATGTGCTTTGTATGGGTTAAGTTTGAAAGACATTTTGAGATAAATTTCTTTTAAGGGCTGAAAAAGCAGATAGAATAACAAGTTCCAGCATTTAACTGAATATGTGCATGGGGGGATGCAAGGGGACTAGCTGTTGACATTTGTGAAGTCAGGAACATCTTACAAATTAATTTTTAAAAAATAAGTAAGCTTGGTACTATTGGAATATTGTGTTTCCACTTAGGGAAATGGGTTATGTCAAATGTATAGGAGTCTGACCATGCTGCCGTCTGGCTAGAATACAATACAAACCACCCTCTGAGCTGTGGAGATGCCTACACAGGATCTCTGTCCATTATTAATGCATCTGTGTTAGACAGATTGGAAAATATGTATTCTGTGAATTCATGGGGAAAAGTTCATGTTGTGAAATATTCACTGATGTGAGAAAAACAGCCCTATATTTACTTTTTAAAAATGTGCACTAGTTTTCAGTTTATATACATTTAACTGATAAATAGTATAATTTAAGTTTACATTATTTTACAATAGTATGTGTCGTTAACAATCCAACATGTAACAAAAATACAAATATAAAATTCAAGGACAAATAAGAATGCAAGCATGAATCAAATAATATGTACAAATTTGTTGTTATTAAAAATTCACCACGGGCATCTTTGAACTCAGAGGAACAATGATAAAAATATTCTTGGGGTTTTTTTTGCTCTTCTGTGTTTGACATAAGAAAAACAAAGCTTCCATATTCCATCAAATGTCTGCTTTTCAGAGAATATATTATGTTCTTAAAATTAAGCTTCATTCATTCCCAATTTGAAAATGGTAGATTTTCATCCAATTAGAAGATGCAAATTTATCTGTTTTTTTACATGAAATACTGCTAAGGTTTTGAACTCTGTCACTCCCTATTAAAATATATAAGACAGCATTTTTTTTCTTTATGACAGTTAACTTAATCTCACACTCCCTTAATCTTAAAAGTAATATAGAGCAGAATATAGAGCAGAGATCTGGAGTCTACTCCAGATGTATCTGGACTAGCTAGTCCTCTCTATCCCAATCCTATGGGAATTCAGAAACTAGATTGCACACACATTGCTTTTTTACCATGCCAGTAATAGTACCATGAGGTTAGCCTTGGGAGCACGTCAAGTTCCTGAGCTTGTCAGCTGTCTGGCTTCCAAGGACAAAGAAGAGCACAGAGCTGTCTAAATCATAACCAGGGAATAGGAAGAGTCAGTGGGTTGAAATGATCCGCCAGGCATGATGACTTTGAGTTTCCCACCCTACATAACCCATGCAGGTTGTGTGTGTATGTACTCGGGTCGGGGGGGGGGGCTTGCGTGCACTTATGGGTGTAGAACAAATTCTCATCTAAATACATCTCTCTGAGGTTTTGAAAATATACATTTTAATTTTCATTAAGACATTTCGTCTTTTAGTAACAGAACTCATGTGGTCTTCAAACTTTTGACATAATCGGAAATGCACCCTCCAACTGTGAAGGTGAAGCAATCACAATTGATCAGACCTGTCTTTGGCCTCAGATCCAGCTAATGCCTCCTGCTCCAAACGATGACCTGGCGACACTCAGTGAGCTCGATGATGGCAGCCTGCTGTATGAAATCCAGAAGCGCTTCGGGAACGATCAGATATACGTGAGTGCCCTTGGACTTGCCTTCTGCACGGCTTTGTCTTCTTGATCTTGTCACCATCCTCAGCACCACAAATGCTGCAAGTGACAGGCTTTCTGGTTATGGTGAGAGCTGAGTTCTTGGAGTTCAGGTTCATTCTGGTTCCGTTATAAGGCAAGTTCAGCAAAGTTCCAATGAGTACTCTGCATGTAGACCAAGTACTCACCACTGTTAACTTCCCCGTTGCCTTGATTGCGATGGAGGCCTTTGCTAGAAACAGCGGGATGTGCACATCACTTATACAACACGTCTGTTCAGCCACTTCAGCCTGCCAGATCCAGAGAAGGACACTGTGAGGGTCCATTGACTATGCATGAGGCCTGTCTCTTAATTTGCATGGAAAGGGAAACTTGCGGCTTAAATTATCAGGAAGTGCCTCTGTGTGTAAAGGAGGTCATTTATTCACAGATTTCTGATAATAGGGTACAATTGATTTGCAGTGGTTCTGTCCTTGTTTTACGTCACTTCTACCAATACCGATAACTATGCAGATAACCTGCAATCTCAAAGTCACCCTCTGTTTTCTCTCTCTCCTCTCTCTCTCTCTCTCTCTCTCTCTCTCGTTGATTTGTTATATTCTGTACAGAGCACAGTGCAATTCAATCAGAATGTCTGTAGAGAATTCTGATTATCCTTTCTTGATAACAAGCATTTTTCCTAATCTACTGAGAAACTGATTAAGTAATTTTCATGTAAATGTCAAGTCTGAGACTTCCCTCCAAGAAATAAATTGTCAGATTCCGACTAGTCTGTAAAAATGCAATGCAGCATCTCATGCTTGGACGAATCACCTGCCACAGTAAGTGTACATAAAGTTAAGTTCTTGTACCAAAATTCATGGAACTGAGTCACTGCCATAATCAGGTGAGACCTGATCACTTTGGTGTCTGTCACCACCCCAGTACTTTTATAAAGTGTCTTATTTTTATCTAGTTTTGATTCTTTTTTCCCTGCATTGTGCCCACTTTTCTTTTTTATTTTTTGTACTCTTGATCACAGTACTTGACTCTACAATACTGAGAGACTGAGCTGTGTTGTAGTCCTTTATCTGCTCATGCTTTTCAGCATTCAGCTTTCTCTCCCAAACATCCACTTAATCCACTCCTCGGCACCTCATGGCCACCACCTTCATCAAAGGTGCCAGCCCTCTCCCATCAGCTTCCCTCAGTCTGACCTCAAAGTGTCCTTGAGAAATCTTTAGGAAGCATGAGGTAATTAATTACAGGGTCCACACCTCAAATCTTTCCTGTGGCTTATCAGTTCTCATGGGAAGCCTGCCATGACTTGTTCCCAAAGCTGGAATCTTGGCTGAGGGATTTCATGTCCTCAGCCCTGAGCATGAGCCCTTGAAGACTGTCACTTCTTGTCCCTCAAAGGTCTTGTCATTACTCTCCTTCCTGTGCCAGGACCTTTCCTGAGATTTTTCTCTCTCCCAGAGTTCTCTTTCTGCCCTATGATGTGCAGAGTTACCACAGGCTCTGCCTTTGTCAGCCTTCCCTAGACTTCTGGGGAATCACAGTGGGCACGCTCTTGTTAGCACAGGCATCATGGCTGGGGACAAGGTGGTTTGATTGACAGCTGGCCCCTGTGTATGGGTAGGAGCTCCATGAAAACAGAGCCAGGCTGGTTGTGTGGCCAAGAGGCCTGGCCAGGGCTTCCAATCTTGAGTGACAAAGTCTTCCTACCTGTCTTTCACAGCCTTGGCACTAACACCTCCCACAGTGACGGTCTTTGCTGTCATCTCTAGAGCACAGATTCCTTCTTTATCTGGATAATTGGAATTACACATCCTGCTTGGCTGGAGTTCATGTAAAATATAAACTTGCCACTTTGTCACCATACCTGAAGTACTGAAGAGCCAAGTCATCTAAGATGAATTCTGTAAAGGGAGTGTTCTACTGTACAGTGTCCAACTCACACCTAATGGATGGACACACAACTCCTGCATTGTCTGCAGGTTGCTAGTTGTGGGAACATTTTATTACCAGTCTGCCGAGACAATAAGCAAGTTTAGAGAAACTCGCGGCAAGTTGATAGTTTCATTGAGTCTGTTGGGTCTGGTAAGAATCAGGGTTTACGTTTTGTATGTTTTGGTCTTTTTTCAATCTCATTTTCCAAGTAACACATTTTTGTTGTCTTTTACATAAAGTATCAGTCCAGGCTTAAAAAGCAAAAGCACCAAAAACAAATGCTTGTTCCCCATAAATAGAAAGCCCAGCTTAGTAGGCGTCTCTACTTTCTCATAGGCACAGTAGGCCTTTGTGCTCCTCTCACCTTCTCCTCCCAATGCCTGGCCCATCGGTGGACAGTGGCGCTCTTCCAGCTTCCTAGGAAACTCATTCTTCTTCCCCTCTCCACTCCCGATGGTCTTTTAAGCCCACCACTAACTTCAAGTAAATGTGTGGCTTTCTCCTGACCTCCTTCCTTGAGTTCCCAATGCAGGAGCCAAACTTACCCTGCTCACCACATCACCATCACTACTCTGCCTAAAAGACTTCAGGTCCACTCGGAGAAAAGCCAGAGTCCAAAGAAAGACCACAGAAATGTGTTTCTGACATCCAGTACTATTATTGCCTTCACCCTGGCTTCCTCAGCCATGGCCATGCTGCTCACTGTGGTGTCCTGAATCCGGGCCTAAATAGCTTGACCACGCTATGCAGGAAGCTTCATTCCTCCCTGCAGGCCTTCTTGCCGATGCCCTCACTCCTGGAGGGCTGCCCATGGCCTATTTTAAGTCACAGCACCTGATGTCTGTCTTCTTGCCTTGCTTTGCTTTTCTCCACGGTCTCATCACCCTCCAGCATGCTGTCTGTTTCCTTATTTAGACTCCTCATTGTCTGTATCCCTCCTTTGCACGCACACACCACACACACGCAAGCACAAATGCACACTCATACACACACATTCATGCTTGTGCACAGTGCTTTCTTCACTGCTGTGTGCATGACACAAAGTTGTTACCCAATGGATATCAAATAAATGAGGATACCTCTTTAGACCAAATACACATTTTCAGTACAAGAGAACAAAGCTGATACTCATTTGTCCATGACAAATGACTAAGACTGGACTGAGCCGTATTTTTCACCAGAGCCAAGATAAAATATTTTTGCTGAATTAATTTGATCAAAATTTTTATCTCTTTTTGCCACAGTCCGATTTGGTATATAATTGGATCTTTCAAAACCAACACTTTCTCTTTTACTAAGTGTGGAGCACATTAACCTAGGGAGCTCTCACATTAGCAATGAGAAGTTCCCAGATCTTCAAATACGAAGAGAACAGAACACATTATCAAATTCCTTTATGGACAGCAAAGAAGCTACTTAACAGTATTCTCTGTACAAAGATACTGGGGGACTCAGAGAAGAGCCGCAAAGTAACACAGGAACTTCCAGTTAGCCAGGAGAATCTAAAAGCCATAGCAAGGATTAAGCAAACAAGTGGAGCACTGTATGACCATGACAGCTCTGGGATACAGTCTGGCTACCTGACACCTGTTAACACTCGCCCAGGGACCCAGTTGGGGATGGCAGGTCCTTTTAGCTACTCCTCAAGAGGTTCCAGCAGACAAGCAGCGTCAGGCTGAGGTTGCTCTCCCTGGAAGGATGTTTCTTTCCCTTGCCTCGATCTCTGAAGCTCCCCAGTGACATGCTATGCGGATGACATCTCCATGTCGTTCCTCTCAATCTGGAAGGTTTGTTTTTTTTTTTCCAGCACAGGAGAGCTATTGGAAAATAAGAAAGACATGATAGCCAGGAGGTGAAGTCTCTATGTTCTACAGTTTAAAGAACCCTTCCTCCACCAAGCATCAGAAATTTCCAATTCACCAAAAGAGCCTCTTTGACTTTGGTGACATATGTAAAGTCACGGACCATGACTTTACCGTTAACATGGAATTGCATTTTTATGAAATATTTTTGATTTTTGTTTATTGCAAAATGTGTTGTCAAAAAGTCTCAAATCGCTTCAATAAAATTAAGTCAACATTAAAATTTTCCCATATAGAAAAGTGCAATTTTGGAGGTATTTTTATTTTATTATAAAGTCCCCAGTCTTTCTTAATCAGAAAATTTCCAATTTCTCTCCCAATATACTCCCTTGGTTCACTTTGCTTCTCTGAAATTCCATAGTAATTTTCAAGAACTACATTAATGTGCATCTTCAAATTCATTATTTCACTTATGTTTACTTTCTTCTTTCTTTTCTTAGCTATTATATACTGGCTGGTCATTCTTTTTTGATTGTACTGGTGTTTGAACTCAGGGCTTCATGCTTGCTAGGCAGGCGCTCTACCACTTGAGCCACAGTTCTTAACCTTTTCAGTCTGGTTAGTTTGGAGATCGGGTCTTGCTATTTGCCCAGGCTACCTTGGACTATGATCGTCCTATTTGAAGCGTCATGCTGTAGCTGGGATGACAGGAGCACACCACCATGCCCAGCTGTTCTTCCACTGAGATAAGCTCTCACAAACATTTTTGTCCAGGCTGGCTTAGAACTGTGATCCTCCCAATCAGTGCCTCCCAAGTAGCTAGGATTACAGTGTGAGCCACCAGCACCTGGTTTGACTGGTTCTCTGTTGAAATAAATGCTGTATTGAATTAGGACATATAAAAGATGATCCACACCTTGTTAGTGTATGGCTCAATGAAGCTTTATCTTGTGGACACACCCGTGTCACCAGCAGCATGCTAAAGGTGTCATGCAGCATGCAAGGAATAAAAGAGCCCTGCTCCCCACTCACAGCAGTCATCACTGCAGATCCTGATGGCTTGCGCTTTTATGTCTGTTGTTTTTTTAATTATATTGCACTCATCATTATGCTTCTGATATTTATCTACATTGTTGCTTGTAGAAGCAGTTCTTACATTTCCCTATAATAAGCTGTTATGTGAATCAACCCCAATTTCTTTACGTGCTCTCAATTAAGGGACTGGTGAGCTATGCCACTCTTTGGTTACTTTGAGCAATACACACAGCCCATTTCTGTTTTGGACATGTCATATACACAAGCATTTCTGTGGATTCACATGCAGGAGCTGGTGTTATGAAGGCAGCAACATAACGTAACGTTCAGCTGCAGGAGATGTGGCCTGATTGCTTTGAGTGTGACCCATGTGATTGGTTTTGTTAGTGTCTTTCCAGTTGCATCCAATCTAGCAATTGTGCAATGCTTGGAGACAGCACTGTGGTTTTAATTTGTGCTCCTCTGATGATGACAGCACCAGGAGATGCTTCCTGCCCATTTGTGTATCCTCTTTGGTGATGTGTCCTTTCAACTGTGTTGCCATTTGTTTAAAATGAGTTTTCTTTCTTTGTGATGTGGAAGAATTCCTGCATATTCAGGACGGTCTTTCTTTCCTTGCTGGAAGTACACCTTGCAAGCCTTTCCTTCCAGCTGCTCTAACACGGTGATCCCAGGACTGTGGTGCCCCTTTCCCAAACACCCAAGCTCAGGGGCTAGGACCTGGTTCACAAGAGCCCCTTGTTCTGGTTTCAAGTCTGTGGGGTCTGTAGTGATGTCAGATTTCTGGCTGGTGGTTTGTATATTTCCTTTTCCATTACATGTTCCTTTACAATTATGTAGCAGCATAGAACTCACCCTCCCCCCAATCTATTCCTTTCTGTGTACTTGTCATATAGTGTGATTTTTATTCAGATTGGTTCTCACAAAATCACTTTCAAATACATCCTTAGAGCCAGCTCTTCCGCCTGTTACATGTTTAATGGAACAAAGCCTATTGGTTTTATTCCATTTATATTTCTTTAATTACAGAAGCTTGAAACAACTTGAATAAGTTAAAGTATGATTTTTACTTCTTCACTCTATTTCTCTTAGCATATAAGTAGATAATTTTTTATTTTAAAGGTAATATTTAATGGCTCATGAATTATTTATGTCTTTTTAACAGACTTTTATTGGTGATATCCTCTTGCTTGTGAATCCATTTAAGGCACTCCCAATTTACTCTACCTTGGTAAGTATAAAAATTAAAACAGCATTTAATACCTCAGAGCAACATTTATACACACACACTTGTGTAAAATGATTGATTAAGAAGAAAAGCAATAATTAAAATCAAACCTCTGGGATATGTTTTTAATTTCTCAATTTGAATGGTAGCATGTTAGTCACTTTTGTTCTGAAGCAATTTTGGAAATCAGAGCTATTTTATCAAATGTCTCCTTTGTACTTAAAATATGTAATTCTTCTATGGCTGTATTTACCAGACAGAATAAAACTAAATAACGTGTAACACGTGTTCTTGATTACATTGGGATCGGATGGTGTAGAGCCCTTATTTGAGTGTTCACCTTTTTTCTGAAGAGGTTCCATTACGTTCAATCAATGGCCAGGGAAAAGAGTCACATCGGTGTGTACATTTCCCCAAATGCCTGACCAGTTTTAGTTACAAGACCCTTCATGCTAAAAGATGAATTGCTTGTGGGAAATTATCCCAGCCAATCAAAAGTGCAGTACGTTCTTCAAATAGTAGTGGTCAAAACACTCCCGTAGGAGCTCTCTGGTTTTGTGTACCTACAAGTCTTGTTCAATTGTGAGGCAGAATTCATAAGGAGTAGGTTCACTGCAAATAGGACACAGGGCCTAATAAATATTGCTGAAGCTTGGACACTCATAGATTTTGGAGGAAGAGAGGGACAAAGACAGGGACACAGACAGGGACAAGTGTTTTTCATAGACATAGCTCATGAAGACAAGGGGGGGCGCTCACTACCCACCCTGCACTCTCCTTAGCCAAAGTCCATTCTGTGTTGCTTTAATATCATGCTGAAACTTAGCCACTGTCTTCCTTCCACCCAACCCTGCCCCAGCCACACCCCTAGGACTGAGAGGACCCTCAGGACTCAGGGCCTGAGGAATCCAAATCACATCACACATTCTATCGGAGGAGGACAGTCCATCTGACAGGTGGCTACTGGACAGTTCTGAGAAAAGACTTAGTGCTATTTATATGAGCTTGCTGTTGAGTCATGACTAGTATTTCTGTGTTTATTGTAGTAATACATAAATATTGTACAGTGTTCGAGTAGTAAATGCTCTGTTCAACTAATTTATGCAAAGGCACTTTTAAAATCGTTGTGCAGATCAAAAAATAGAGCATGAATAGCATCGCAGGAATTTCTGTAACACTGCTATTAGTACAATGGACATTTTTCTTTTGTGTGGCTGTATGAAGTTCTCCTTTGTGGCTATGTGGCCCTATCAGTGTGGATGGGGAAGTGGTCAGTTTGCCAGGGGCATTGTCCCCTGTGCTTTGTTCAACACATACTTCTCTCGTTGGATATATAACCAGTAGAGGAATTGGCCGCTCGAGTGTACGGTATGGTCACTTTTGGCAAACACTGACAGCACATTGTACTCATCCGTTCGTCTGTCACCCTACTGTATTTCCACAGTGGAATCTTTTTGTGGCTTTGTGCCTCTCTGATAAGCAATGGCATTGGCCTCATTTTCACATGATTACTGTCCACTTATATCTTCTTTGATGAAATGTCTGTTCAAGACTTTCAAATTAAAAGCATTAAAATTTTTTTCGTCACCTTTTTTCTAATGATTTTAAGTTTTATGTATTCTGGATTCTCAATGTATATGGAAAACACCTTTTAAAGAGGTAGGGTCAAGATTCATTTTTTTTCCCTTTAGGGGTACCAATTTAACACCACATGGTTTCCTTTTTTAAAAAATCCTTTTTCCCACTACATCAAAGCAGCACTTCTGCATAAATCAGGTACCCGGATGTGAGTGGATGGCGTCATGCAGAGTCCCTTCAGTCTGTTGCAATAAGCAGTGGCGCCTTTCACTGCAAGTTCTCCACATTTCACAACTGATCCCTAAGTTTGGCCAGCCTGTTTTGTCCCTTTGCATTTTCTGTACAATTTGGAGTCAGCTGATCAATTCCCAGGTGGGAAGAGGGCCATCCCTGGGATTTTAACTTTTATTGCATTAAACCTAGAACAACTAAAAACTTGAGAACTCCTGAGTCTCAGTATGCTCATTTATTTAGGTCTTTAAAATTTCTCTTTATGGACCATCCTTTGTGCTTTCCTGGGAGGTGTCTTGCATAGCTTTCGCTAAATGTTTTAAATGTTATCATAAATATTTTTCATTTTTTGTTTTCTAACTGTGTGCTTATTATCTAAAAGCAAAATTAAAAAGCACCAGCTTAACCCAGTAAGTTTATAAAATTCGCCTATTCACTATAGTTATTTTAAAGTTCCCTGCAAAAAATATTGTAATTTGATTTCTGTCTTTACACCTCTTCTACTTGTCTTTCCTTATTTTGCTGCATAAGGTAACCAGAATAATGTTTAATAGAAACTGGAATTAAATTTAAAAGAAAACAGTTATTCCTGATCTCAGGGGAAACTTTCAGTAACTCCACATTAATTGTGATGGCTTATTACATTAGGGAAATCCCATTTTGTTGCTGTCATAATAAGAATCTTTATAATGAGAAGACTGTTGAATTTATCAAATTTGTTTCTCTCTCCATTTGAGATGATCATTTTTCTCATGTATTTTTTTGTTTGTGAATTCTGTTTCCTAATTTTCAAGTGTTAAATGAGCCTGGCATCTTTAAAAATTTTATCCTTTTCTTTATAATATTGAAATCTATTAGATAATATTTTGGGTAAGATTCTTCCATCTATGGTCATGACAAAAATCAGCCTCTGGTTTTTCTTTACTTTTATTGTATTTTTAGTTCTTCAGCCAACATTATGCTGGCTCCAGAAAAGGAGTTAGAAAACGTGTTCTGCTTTCTGGCCTCTGAGAGAGTTGTGTGAACTTGGTTTTATTTCTTCCTTAAACGTTTGGAAGAATTCACCGGTGGAGCTGTTGGTGTTTTCTTTGTAGGATGGTGTGTGGTTCCTCATTTAATTTCTTACACAATTCTAGAATTCTTCATTTTTTTTACATCCCTTTGTTGTAGTTTATAGTAATTATGCTTTTAAGAGTTTTGTTATTATATTTAATCTTCTAACATTTTTGGTATAAAATTATTCATAGCCCAATTTATCTTTTAATTTTAACTTAGAATTCTAAGTGATTTCTTTTTGTTCTGTATGTTGGTGATTTGTGTCTTCTCTGACTTTTTAAAATCAGCATTCTAGGAATTTATGAATTATATTAAGTTTTTCAAAGAAAAAAATCAAGCCAAGAGATATTTTTCTATCATGTATTTATTCTCTGTGCAATTTATTCTTTTATCGTTATTCTTTCAAATTGCTTTGGCTTTAATTCATTATTTATGTTGCATAGACAGATACAGCTTTAATTTCCTGCCTTTCCTGAAATAAGCATTTCAAGCTTTTTTAAACTTTAAGCATGTATTTACTAAGTTCTACATGCTTGATACTTCACAAGTTCATTAGCATTGAATTTCATGTATTTTCTGTTTTCATTTGTGATTTTCTTTGTCATATGAATTCTATAAAAAACCAAATTTTATTATTTTTCTATTTTGTAGTTTTGTTTCTCTTTGTTCTACAAACTTAAAATTTTAACCAACCAGGTATTAATTCTCCCTCCTGTTGTTTGGACCTGCTGATAAAATCACCTGTTGTACTGTTGAGGCTCGTTATATTTTTTGTAATAACATTTCCATTTTAAGGAATCTCTTGAAGATTTCCATTCATGATTCCACCTATTTTCTTGGTCCTGTTAGTCCCTGTTATTTTACAGTCTGTGTCTGCTGACTAACATTGGATGTTTCTCTAGCATGTCGGTTCTTATTACATAGACATTCACGCACATTCATTGCAATTTTTGATTCAGTATTGAACATCCCATATAAAAATTGTAGAGGCAGGGATGATGTTATTTTTTGTGTGAAAGGAAATTTATTTTTTCTCCTGGTGGGCAGGCATCGTGACCCAGCTGAGGCTTAACAGTCACCAGCCTTCTCCGTGGGCTTTGTGTCCCCTCACAGGGCTCAGTTGAGAATGGGGTTGGTGCCCGTGTGCTTTTCCTGTTACTGAGAGCTGCACGTGAACTTGGATGTCCTCTCAACCCTGAGCCTGCTCCATTCTCTGCTTAGCTTTTCAGACACTTGAGCCTGAGTCTGTGAGATCAGTGAGCTTCACTCAGAAAAGCGGCCACATGAGCTAAGTAAGAAAGAATGGTGCTGAGTGCTGTGTGCTCAGTGACTTTCTCCCAGACCCTGGCCCCAGAAGACCCAGCTGCTTCAGTAATTTTCTGAGTACTGCAATTAGATGCTTAATTTGCATTTATACAGATGTTGTGGTTGTCTATGGTAAAAGAATTAATCTGGTACCAGCTTCTTCATGATGGCTGTCTGGGAAAGTAGGTCAAGTCTATTTGGATTTCACTGGTGTCAGAAAATCTGAAGGTCATTTGCCCTCAAATATCTGAGCTTGTTTGCAGCTCCACATCCAATATTGCTTGATCTGTATGTAACTTTCAGAAGGGAGAGAGAGCAAGAAAATCAAAGTGAGCCCATGCTTTTTAAAACTGTTAATGGGTTGTCCCTAGCTTATATCTGTGGGGTCACAGTTAATTGTAGAGTCAATAAAAATTTTACGTAAAGATTGTCAGTTTTGAAAAATTAAAGGAGAAAATAAATATGTATAAATAACTCCCATGTAAATATTTCAATGGACACAGAGATCAAAGTCTAAGTATTAGTTTAACATAATAATTTGCTATAGTATGACATCACTGTATTGTATCTTGTGATAAAAAAATCTGTTTTGGATTTTTTGGCAGCACTGGGGTTTGAACTCAGGGCCTCACACTTGCTAGACAGGAGCTCTTAACACTTGAGTCACTCCACCAGCACTGTGATTTGTTTTTAAGGGTCAAGAGAATTGCAATTTTATAGCTTTGAATAATAGGTTGCAGTGTAGCCCCTTCAGATGTAACTTTACTAGAGGAAAGGAGAAACACATGTCACATTTCTTCATTAATGTAGGAATATGAACAAGTAATACCTTG